TGTGAAGTTATGTTTTTGTGTGTAATATATACAGTGATGTGTATGGTGTTTTGCAGTGTTTTCAAGAAAGTTAAGTTCTCCGTTCACCCACAGTGGATTCAAAAGTTTCCCCTCCTTGTACATCTCTTGTTTTCATGAAGGATTCTTGCTTATAAGAAGGTGCTATGCTAAGTGAAACACATTATTTCATTGGTTTTATGCTGGAAATCCTGTTCAGTGGCAGTGTAAAATGTGCACAGTGTTGTGTAGAGTATGTTATAGCATGAAGAATGATGGCAAGTGATTTGTAAGTTAGATGTGTATTTCGGTGTGATAGACAATGGATTGCATTCTTAGCATCTAATCTTCCAGGCTTACATGTGCTAGCATGTGGTATACAGCATCAGGTAACTATTTTATTTCCTTCTATTAAAGTGCTTACAGGATCACATTGTTTACACCTGACATTCTTGTAATTGTATTTTATAGTTTAGTCTAGAATACATATATTGATGTGTCCTTTATTGTTTTCATGCATACAAGAAAGTTGAATAATATTTTTTTCAGGTTCAGAACGCAATCGGTGATTTCCCTATCTGATATTTGAGCACTAGTGTTGTGGAGTGGATACCTTTAATTTAAAGTATATGTATATCTTTCACATATGTCGAAAAACATAATAAAGTTAATAATGGGAACATTTGGAGAGAGAATATTTCGGGAAGTGTTGGAAATTGTAAGAGTCAGTCAATATAATTGAGATACCATGCACTTGAGAGCGTTCTTAAATGTCAATATTTCGGAAAAAGTGCACTCATGACCATTATAAATATCGTAATATATTCCAAGCTTCATAGATTACTTAGAGTGTTTAACAGAAATATGAATGCAAGAGTTTATCTTGTGAGAAAATTCGGAATTAAAATGTCTCGTATAAATACATAATGAATTCGTACTCCATCAGCGACTTTCAATCATAAGATATGGCGGACGGCCAAACAGTGCTTGACTGATCATAACAATGCGCAATAGGCATTTGCGCACACCTGTCATAATGTTCACTCACAACCTAATATTATCTTAAATTACCGAGCTTCGCCCCCTCCAAGTTACAGATGGATGCGCAGTAGTCTACTGGGCAAACCTAACCTAAGCCAACCTAACCTAACCTAACCTAACCTAACCTAACATCATTGAATCGTACCCACCCCCCGAGTTTCAGGTCGATGTGAAGTAGGTCATTGCGCACATCTAAGAGTGACGTCATACACGAAGTAGCTATTTAACGGAACGTATTACAGGATTATAGTAGCATGGAATATAAATCGAAATATGCCGTTATGCATGAAATTGAGCGTGTTAACCGTTTTCCACCCATAATATTCATATATGCCCTTATATTCCGAGGTTATGTTGCTACGTAAATAGCTTAGATTGTGTCGAAACGCCGCTCCCACCTCACGAGTTTGCGCATCTCCCACGGTGATACAAATGATTACTGAATATAACTTTCTATGTGAATATGCTGCCCTCCAACGGCATAACGTTATGACGGAAAATCTTTATAATCGGTGAAATCATTCCGTTTCTTCTCGTGGATGGTTACGAGAGCAATTGAGTGACTGCTTGGCATTTGTTTCGCCCGAAATTCCCTTCCTGGATGGGAATTAGAATAATATTATGCATGAAAGTTGGTAAAGAATGTAACGAGAAATTTCCTTCCTGTAATGGAACTG